TAGAAAGACACAAACTACCAAAACAGACTTCAGAAGAATAGAAAATATGACAAGAGATTGAAGCTTCACTGGTGAACTCCATCAAATAGCTAAAGAAGGGCCGTGCATGCTGGCTCATGTCTATCATCCAAGCACGTGGGGTGCCGAGGGAGAGAGGGTCACTTGAGCCTACGAGTTGAAGACCAGCCTGGGCATCATAGAGGGACCCTGTCTCTACAAAAAAATTAAAAAATTAGCCGGGCATGGTGACGTGTGTCTGCAGTCTGAGCTACTTGAGAGGCTGAAGTGGGAGGATTGCTTGAGTCCAGGAGGTAGAGGATGCAGTGAACCATGATCGCACCTCTGCACTCCAGCCGGGGGGACAGAGTGAGACCTTGTCTCAGGAAAAACAAACAAACAAACAAACAAACAAAACATTTAGCCGGACATGGTGGCTCTCACCTGTTATCCCAGCACTTTGGGAGTCTGAGGCGGGTGGATCACCTAAGGTCAGGAGTCTAACACCAGCCTGCCCAACATGGTGAAACCCCATCTCTACTAAAAATACACACACACACACACACACACAAAATATCTGGGTATGGTGGCACACGCCTGTAATCCCAGCTACTAAGGAGGATGAGGCAGGAGAATCACTTGAACGTGGGAGGTGGAGGATGCGGTGAGCCGAGATCAATCCACTGTACTCCAGTTTGGGTGACAGAGAGAGACTCCATCTCAAATAAAAAATTAATGAACAATTAATACCAATTCTTCAAAGCAATCTTCCAAAAAACAGAAGAGGAAGAAACACTTCCAAACTCTTCTATTACTATAAAAAGGATTACATGTCATGACCCAGTGGGATTTATCTCGCGAACACAAGGTTGGCTTAACATCAGAAAAATCAATCTGTGTAATTCAACATATTAATAGAACAGAGGACAAAAACCTCACGGGCGTCTCAACGGATGCAGAAAAAGCATTTGACAACACTCAACTTTTTTTTTTTATAAAAAAGACCCCACAAACTAGGAATAGAAGGGAACTTCCTGAATCTGATCAACAGCATCTACGAAAAACCCACAGCTAACATACTGCTCAATGGTGAAAGACTGGAGGCTTCCCCTAGATACAAGCCAAGAAAGTCCGCTCTCACCGCTTCGATTCAACATTGTAATGGAGGTTCCAGCCAGGGCAATTAGGCAAGAAGACAAAATAAAAGACATCCAGAGTGAGGTAAACTGATTTCTATTTGCAGGTGACATGATTTTGCATACAGAAAGAATCCAGAGAAAAACCCAACAACAATAAAGCTCATAATGAGTTCAGCATGGTTTCAGGATATGAGATCAATATAAAAAATCATTTGTATTTCTATATATTAGCAATGAATAATCTGAAAATTTAATTAACATAGTAATTCCATTTATGACAGCATCAAGAAAAATAAGATACTCAGGAATAAATTTAACAAAAAAGCAAAACTTGTACACTGAAAACCGCGAATATAACTGAAAGAAATTAAAGAACATCTAAATGAATGGAAGGGCACCTCATGTCCATAGGTTGGAGGACTTACTATGTTAAGATGACAGTACTCCTGAAACTGATCCACAGATTAACACAATCCTTATGTGTGTTAATAGGGAATTGTATGATAGGTGAATTGTATGTCAAGATAGCTGTTACCGGATCCCCCACCTCACAGATCCCTGGTAAAAGAAAAAACCATTTATACAGTGTCCCTCTGAATCCACAGGGAATTGCTTCCAAAACCTCTTCTGCCACTGGATACTAAAATCGGTGGAGGGTGAAGTATTTTACATAAAGTAGTGTCGTATTTGGACATAACCTACGCACATCCTCCTGTATACTTTGAATCATCTCTAGAATACTTCTAACACCTAATACAACATAAATGCTATGGAAATAGTTGCTACACTGTATTGTTTTTTATTTATATTTTTGTTGTTGTTTTGTTATTTTTATAGTGTTTTTTCCTTGAATGGTGTCGATCCACGGTTGGCTCAACGGGGGCTGACTGTACATACATGGACTGACCTTTTTCTGCCTAAGAAAAGCCTCTTCTCAGAGTCAGTCTGCTGTGTGGAGTGCCCTGTGGTCTTTCCTGCATAGCTGCATCCGTAAGACATGGATCTAACAACCTTTTTCTGTGTTTTTAAAGTGGGGCTAGAGCTGAAAGGCGCTTGTCAAGCAATGTGTATGTGGATTCCCTCTAGATGTTTTTTATTTTTATTTTATTTTATTTTGTTTTTGAGACAGAATCTTGCTCTGTCACCCAGGCTGCAGTGCAGTGGTGCAATCTTGGCTCACTGCAACCTCCGCCTCCCAGGTTCAAGCCATTCTCCTGCCTCAGCCTCCTGGGTAGCTAGGATTACTGGCATGTGCCACCATGCCCAGCTAATTTTTGTATTTATAGTAGAGATGGGGTTTCACCATGTTGACCAGGCTGGTCTCGAACTCCTGACCTCAGGTGATCTACCGGCCTCCAAGAGTGCTGGGATTACAGTCATGAGCCACCACGCCTGGCTCCTCTAAATTTTTATCAGCATTTATTGCAACCACCATAGTTGTCTCACTTGCATCTAAATGAACAGCAATATATTCAGCAGCACCCTTTCACCGAACCTTTCCAAAGAACTCAACTGTGTTGTACCAGAAACAATTATCTTTCTGCACTCATATTTCCTGGCTTTACATAGTACTAGAACATGTAATTACAACAAATATCACTGGCATAAACGAGTTAGGAATAGCTACAATGTCCCTTGGAAAGCTTATGGCCCAGCTTCTTGGAGCAGAAATGGTGCAGGGGTGAACTGCGGATGCTACTAGTAGGGAATGGTTTGCCCAGCCAGCCTGGCTCAAGCCTCCGGCCCACATGGCAAGAGCCAACCTCCATGTGGCCACCATGTTCCTTCAAATCCCATTCCCACAGAGGAATGGACTCATCCCGTAAGCAGCTCTATGAGGACAGCAGGGCACACACTTCATCTTCTTTACAGCCGAGGAAACGGGGTCCCACAGGCAGTGATGTGCCCAAGATCATGCCAGTCCCACAGGCACCATGGCCACCCACCACCAGCTCTCTTTTGCCTCCCCCATGACTCTGAAGCCCGGCAGCAGAGCTGGGCTCTCACCAGGAGAGCAGAGCCCTGGGCTCCCACGGCACCCGTCACAGAGCGGAAAGGATGTGCTGGTGGGAAGCCTGATATTTCTGCTTCCAAGCCAGGGGTGTGAGGCAAACTCACCCACAAAGTACTCAGTGAGGAAACAATAGGGCTTCTGAGGGCAGCTGCTGTCGCCACTGCCTGCCCTTCCCTTGCACAGGACTTTCTGCTGGTAAAGAGCCTCGGCCACCGCGTCTGCAGACATTGCTGCGACGTCCAGTGACAGACTGATACTCCCTGCACCTTTCAAATCAAACAGTTCACATGTATTAGAGATCCCCAGGCCTCCCATTCATTCCACTTCACAGGTGAGGAAACTGAGGCACAGGTAGGTTCAGTGACACACCCAGAGTCACCTGCCTCGAATGCAGAAGAGGTGGGACTCAGACCCTGGCGCTCCTGGCTTCAGACGCACGGCTCCACGGCGGCTCATGCCCCACCCATCGCAACTACAGCGTGTCTCTGCACACTGCTGCTATAATCGTACACGCTCTCATAAACAGAATTTACTTTATTCTTATTTAGTTGGCAATTTTTATTTTAACACATAAAACCAGGAGAATGCAAACTTTCAGCATTTACATGCCTTTAGTTCTGTAAGTTGGTTGAACTGATGTGATATTTACAGATCAATAGTAAAATCTGCTGAGGTGAGGAGAAACCCCTGGTACTTAACCTTTCCTTTACAGAACACGCTGGAGAAAATTGCCAACATGAGGCCCCGGTGAACAAGGGCAGAAGTTCATGGTTACCGAATAACTGCTTAATTAGATACCTTTCAGAAAACTGCAGCCTCCCAGAAAGGGTAGCCTGGCTGTGACAGCTGTGTGGATATACACCGGGAGGGAGAGACTCCCGTGGCATGCAATTAGGACCAATGAATTTTTAACGTCTTGGTAATGATGCTCTCTGGCCCTGTATCTTGATTAACTGATGTTGACTGCCACAGGGTGAATGACAAAGAAGAGAACATAAAAAATCCCACTATAAGAACCAGCTGCCTTTTCTTGCCTAAGATGCATAAAACATTGCGTGGGAAGCAGGGTAGGTCTCAAACAGGCAAATTGAGAGACAGAGAGAGACAGACAGACACACACACATAGACATTCCTACCCTTATGATATTTTTTCATCAATTTCTCTTTGTTGTACTCAGTAGCATTCTGATCAGTAGGCTGTGTTCCATTCACATTGAAAACAGGAAGAGCCTTCACTATTTATGAGATGTGTATTTATAAATGTGTATTAATAACTCACATATTATAACATGTGTTAGTGAACCATGCTCCTGGCCTCCCTGCTGCCCCTGGGAGCGGCAGGTCTTCCTGTGTACGACCCTGGGCAAAGGGCCAAATGATGGCCAGTGACTGGCCGCTGGAGTACGAGCTCAGGGTTCATTAGCAAATCAAAAATGCACAGGTTAGCAATTTTCCAATTGGAAAAGAACTGATCCTCTGACACCCCTAAACTTCCTGGATTAAAAGAGAATTCTGAAGCCCGAGGAAGGCACCTTGCTTTGGAGTCCAGGGGATGTCCAGGGCTGCAGGAATTTCACGACATGGACTGAAGGGCACATGCCAGGGGCCAACCTAGAGAACACGACAGTGGCAGACCCCTGTCAATATGGAGCTCCAACAACACCTAAAATAAATACATCAGCGGCGCCACATGTGCAGATGCTTGGTCTTCCAGAGGGCAACACAAGGCAAACTCCAGGTGCCATGGACCGTCAGGGGCCACTATCCTTACCACATCTGGCTGAAGCCAGAAGCGTCCACTTCTACACTGGTTTCAAAATGGGTAGAGGAGGAGGGGATCAGTCACTCACCATCTGCAGGACGTCAGAGGAGACCATCTGCATACAGCACATAGCTGTGGCCAGCGCACACACGATGGTGGACAGGACGTTGAGGGCGCACACGCTGAAGAGGAGATCCTGCAAGGAAAGGGGCAGGAGAATGTCAGCCTCATCCCAAAATCCCAGATGGTAGAATCCTTAGACCTCCTGCCAGGGCCCAGAATGAGCGAGGTCGATTGCCACCCATTTCACAGAGGTTTTGTTTTGTGTGTGTCTGTGTTTTCTTATAATCAAAATTGGCCTTTCATAGAAACACATTTGTCTATTCCGTTACAATGATGATCAAAGTATTCATAATACTCAACGTGTTTTACAATTTTGATAATTATTAGGTAGTCAGTAACATGTCTAAGAAAATCATAAAGTGGCCAACATTTAAGGAGGTGGGCAATTTTTATCAATCACAGCCTACAACTCAAGTGAAACTTTTTATCTTGAGATAGTTGTATATTCACATGCAATTGTAAGAAATCCTACAGTGAGATCCTGGGTACCCTTTACTCGTTTTCCCTCAATGGTAACATCTGGCAAATCTATAGTTCAATATCACAGCCAGATACTGACATTGGTATAGTCAGGATGCAGAACAGTCCCATCACCACATGGGTCCCCCCCATCGTTGATCTTTTATAGACACACTCACCTCTCTTTCCCTGCTCCCCACTTAACCCCCAGTTCTGATCCCCTGTCAATCACTAGTCTGTTCTCCATTTTTTATAATTTTGTCATTTCAAGAATGTTGCATAAGTGGACTGCACAGCATGTAACCTTTCAGAATTGGCTTTTTCCACTCAGCATAATTCCCTTTAGACTCATCTCAGACTTCCAGACTTCAGGACTGTGAGAAGTGACTGTTGTTAGAGCCACCCAGGCTATGGTATTTTTGTAATAGCAGCCTGAACTGACTAAGACTCTATATGAAATATGAAAAGACAAGCTACAGTCCGGGGGAAAATATTTGCAAACCACCTATCTGACAAAGAACTAGTACCTAGAATACATAAAGAACTCTCATAACTCAACAGTACAAAAAGAAAAAAAAAAAAGCAAACGTTGCAATTAGAAAATGGGCAAAAGACATGAACAGACACTTTACCAAAGAGGATCTCCAGATGGCAAATAAGCCCATGAAAAGATGGTCAACATCATTAGCATCAGGGAAATGCAAATTAAGACCTTTTATAAAGGGGTATCATTATGCACCTGTGAGAAGAGCTAAAATACAAACAGTGACACTAAATGTTGGCAATCATGCAGAGAAACCCAATCACTCATACACTGCTGGTGGGAATTAAAAATTGTTCAGTCACTCTGGAAGGCATTTTTGCAGTTTTTAAAATAAAACTAAACATGCAATTACTGTTCAAATCAGCAGTTGTACTCTTGGACATTTATCTCGGAGAAACAAAAACTTATGTTCACACAAAAACCTATACACAAAGGTTCACAACAGCTTTATTTGTAATAGCCCAAAACTGGAAAACTGCAATACCAAAAACCCAGATATTCTTCAGTTGTTGAGGATTAAACCAATGTGGTACATCCATACGGGGGAATACTACTCAGCCTGTTGGATTTTGGTAAGGGCCTGCTTCCTGGTTGAAGATGGCTAATGTCTCACTGTGTCCTTGCTTAGTGAAAAGAGGGCAGGGGAGCTCTCCAGTGCCTCTTTTAAAAGCGTACTAATCCCATCACGTGGATTCTACCCTCATGACCTAACAACCTCCCAAAGGCCCCGCCTCTATTAAATAATCACATACTGGGAATGAGAATTTCAACATATGAATTTTGGAGGGATACAAGCATTAAGTCCATGATATCTGAGTTTTTAAAGAACAAAAATTTTTAATGTTCATGAGATCCAACTGATCAACTTTTGTTCCATACTTTTGGTGTCAAGTCTAAGAACCTTGTCAAGCCCCAGATTATGAACAGTTTCTCCCATTTTTTCTAAAGGTTTTTATAGTTTCATATTTTCCATTTAAGTCTATGCTCCATTTTTGTTTTGAGATAGGTCTTGCTCTGTTGCCCAGGCTGGAGTGCAGTGGCACAATCATGGCTCACTGCAGCCTTGACCTTCTGGGCTCAAGTGATCCTCCCACCTCAGCCTCCTAACTCAGACCACTCATGCATACCAGTGTGCCCAGCTAATATCATCCATTTTAAGTTAAATTTTGAATAAGATGTGAGTTTTAGGTTGAGGTTCCTTTTTATGTTTTTAATTTCATTTTCCAAATGTTCATTGTTAGTACATACAAATGTGATTGATTTTTGTATGTTTATATGATATCTTGAGACTTTGCTGAAATTATTAGTTCTAACAATTTTTTGAAGATGCCAGGGGATTTTCTATGTAGACAATCAGGCCATCTGGATTGTTTTATTGATTTCCTTCCATTTTGTCTTTATTTTTTGCCTTGTAGTGCTAGCTAGAACCTTGAGTATTACAAATAAAAATATAAGATGACTAAGATAATGAAAGCAGACATCTCCGTCTTGTGCTCTGTCTTAGAGGGTAAACTTCATGGAGTTTTAACAGTCCAAGTGCAATATATCCTTCATCGAGAAGTCTACTCTCAAATCTATGCCAGAAATAGAAAAAAAAAAAAAAGATTTAGAATGATAGTATGTCCTTCAATTAAATCTTTTCATATACAAGTGTACAAAATACTGTACACACTCAAAAACCTATCAAAAGCAAAAAGCTATAGATGAATCTTTCACCACAAAGGGATGGCGTTAATCAGATTAGTATTAATTATCTAATCAAGGGGTTGGCAAGTCCTCAAGAGGAGACAGGGAACGCCGCCCTCACTGACATGCCCTGTGCGTGCGCTAGGATGTGTGCACACAGTCTAGCAGCATCCTCAGGGCTCGTTCATGTATACATGAGCCCATGTATTCCAATCTGTAACATCTGCTGGACAGTTCCCTGTTCTAGGGGCATCACTGCCCCATCCGCTTCCTCAGAATCTGCTCATCAGTTCTCAAGCCCACACTGTGAAACAGTAAAGAAGTGTGATTAGGATATTATGGAAGGTGGTTAACATACAGTATTTAAACACTTT